GGCTTTCCAAAACGAGTTGAGTGCCAAGACGACACCTGCAAGTTCTCCTCTATAACTCCTTTGGGTAGACTCCAGGAGTCCGAGCTGTTTCCTCAAACTCAAAATAGCGACAGGCAACATATGCATATGCATATGCAGACACATTTGTCATGGCCATTGACTGGGGGGATTCAACCTAAATAGAGGGGTTGCGGCATGAAAGCGCAGCTTCATCAGAGAAAGGTCTGGCAGGCAATGGCCGAAATGCGTGACAAAGTCACGTTCCAGGTAAGGTTCTGTGAACTAAAAACTCTGTGTCTTCTGCCATCCGGTTCCCACAATGAGGACCGGACACCTCCTCTGGTGAACTTATCCAAAAACGTCATGCGTGAAATGTTTCCCCAGCCAGAATGCAAGCGAAATGCCTTGGTGTACATTGGATCGCTGATGAAAGCTGAGATCGTAATTTGTTTCACAAATGTTTCGAAGTCACTATGCTTGCGATGATCACAGTTTTTAGCGAGTATTGCAGGCCATGCTAGACTTAACATTTTCTTGAGAAAAGAAAAGGAATCCTCGAAACAATTGCAATTGAGGCCCTGTTCATGGGTCAGCTCACGATCAACCTTGCATGTCCTGTTGATCAACCGTATGCCAAGCAAAGACACTTGAAGAGCTCCAGCAGGTCCGTTCTATCAGAGATTCGACAGCGCAGTAATCCTGCACGCTTTTGTTCTCAGCAGTTGCGCCAGTACGGACCTCCCTGCGGAGCACCCGTTGACCTTTTGCGGCTCGCCAGTGGCCACTTCCCCAATGCTGCAGACCCAGTCCGACAGTCATGTCTTTTCCAATTTCATTCTGTACACGTGCATCATACCGTGTTGCAGATCCTTTGACTGCTTGAAAGAATGCTGCATGCTCGCTAGATCACTTTACAAGATGCAGATGCATACTAAGCACGGTGAATCCTGATCCGTTCTGGCCTCGTTAAGCGATCCTTTGGCCGGTCGGTGCTCTCAAGGTCCGTGGCTCAGATCCTCGCGCGACGTTCCGAGCAGGATCTCAGGCATGTCGTGTCAGAGTCGTGTCGTTGCTGGGAGTGCTTTTGCGACTTCGCTTCTTCTTTTTCTCGGAGGC